TGGTGATGATGATGGTGGTGGTGGTGATGATGATGGTGATGATGAATATTATTATTTGTTGTTAGGGTTTTTATTGTTATTAGTGTTATTATTATTGTTGTTGTTGTTGTTGGTCCTGGTGGTGTGATTATGACGATGAGATTTATAATGAATGAACTTGCGATGAAGATGATGATGAAGTTGATGAAGTTGATGACGATAGAGATGATAAGACGATGATAAAAATGATGAAAAAGATAGTTATATATCATGATAGAAATGATGAACATAAATGCATTGCAAAGATAGAAATGACGGTGATGATATATTGTTAATGATACTAATTATAATTGCGTGTCAATATGACGATGCGTGTCAATATGACGATGATAATGGGAATGATGACAATAACAACGATGATGATGACAAGAAGATCATGATAATGTTGTTGATGACGATGATTAGGACAATGTGATGTCATTTGTATGACAATGATGACGACAAGAATGCTACAGAAAAGTATTTATTTATAATAAAGAACGCTGAATAGCTTTGCCTTCATTTAAATTATTTGTCACGTGATACTCAGTGTTGTTGTTGTTTTTGTTTTACTGTTGTTGTTGCTGCTGCTGCTGTTGTTTTTGTTGATGCTGTTGCTATGATTGTAGACGTTGCGCACATTAATGTTATCATTGCTAATGTTGTGATTGTAGGTACTACTATTATTATTATTGTTGTTGTTGTTGTTGCTATTGTTGTTGGTGTGATTGTTGTCGTGATGACGTCATACAGAGTTACCATGGTAGCTTGTAAATGCTTGACAGAGCACATTACTCCGCTAATGATATATCGGCCGTGAAGACAATCTCTCGTTAAAAATATAAAACTCCACTCATCATTATCACCATCGTCGATTTTGTTGTTATTATTATTATTGTTGTTGTTATTATTATTATTACTATTATTATTATCATTATTATCATCATCATCCAAATCTTCATATTTTGGTTTTTAAACTATTTCTTTTAAAATCATATAACATGCAAACACCTCTTACTACTTCTACTACTGTACAATTTTTACTGCAACTTCTGCTGCTGCTACTACTACTACTTCTATTAAAACAACAACAACTACTACTACTATTACTACTACTACTACTACTACTACTACTACTACTACTACTACTACAACTACTACTACTTAAACTTGTTTACACCTCATATCATCGGCAGCATGAAAAAAAGATCAAATATATACGTCATAAATGAGAACATTTACAGATTACGTCATAAATTAACAATGACGATTTATTATCTTTTCAAATTTCATTGTGACGTCATCTCATAAGGAGCCAATGGAGCGAGTAAGTATTTATATCTACACGTCATTCTGTTCCGTCCAATCTATCTATCATCATTTGTGCAAGTGCTTTATGTGCTTATTTGTTTATTTCTCTATAAGTTTAAACGTGATTTAGAATGCTCGAGAATATTGTAGAATGCTTTGCGATATTGTGACAAATTGTAGAACATTCTAGAAAATTATACTTTTTATAGATTTTTGAAATTTTGTAGAACTTTTGAGAACCGCGTTTTAATGTTTACGGTGATCTAGTCTGAAATGCCTCAAAAAAAAATTTCAATTATACCTTTTTAATGTTTAAACATGTTTTAAAACCTTCAAAAATAATTAATTCAACATTTTTTGAAGTAAAATTTAATATTTTCAACTTATTAAGAAGCGTTCTGAATGCTGAAAAATATCCCAACTATTTGAAAAAAATGTTTCGTCTTCAGTTTATAAAGATGAATTGCAAATTAGCTATCGCACAATAATCCCACTCTGTTGAATATGCTCATGAATATTTTTTAAATGTTGTAAAATTTTTCAAATGTTTATCAATGTTTGAGTGTGTTTTATCGCAATGTAAACAATGCAGTCTCTATTAAATACGTGACCAGCAATTTAAAATCAATTTATCTCATATCATCTTCATCTAGCATTTAAATTCATTGCAAACTCTGGATAGGAAATTAAACAAAAATTCAAGAAACGTTTTGTTCAATTCAAATGATAAGTATTTTGCGATAATTTTCAAATATTTGTAAATGTGTGTGTATGCGTGTATGTTGTGTAAGCGTGTATGTGTGTATGCGTGTATGTGTGAATGCAAGTATGTTTGTATCAGTAAATGCAAGTGTGCGTGTGTACGTGTGTGCGTGTGCGTGCGTGTGTGTGTGTGTCTGTCTGTCTATGTTTCTGTTCATCTGTATGTATGTGTGAGTGTTCAGCTTCAGCTTTTGAACGCAATTTTTTTTTAGAATTTTCAAAGCAGCGTTTAAGGATTTTGTTTGCTAAAAAAAACATTGTAAAGAATGGACTTGATTAAATGAAAGGCAAAATATATTGAATAAAGGAAGCCAAAAACACAAAAACAAAATCATAAAATACAATGGCTCTCAGAGGGGCGGCAAAAAATTAATATTTATTTTTTGCATCGGAGGAAAAAAGTAAACAAATCGCAGGCCAAAAAAATGCAGCATTAAACAAAAATAATCAAACAAACACAAAGGGAGAGAAAGAAAGTATGAAAGAGAGAAAGAGAGAGAGAGAGAGAGAGAGAGAGGGTGATGGATGGAAGGGTGTGGAAGTTTCGGTGGGTCTGTATAAAATGGATTGCATTAAATGCCTCCGAGAAGATAGATGGAAAAATTGCTACACGACTCTGCATTTTTTGTTGCGTGTATGGTTGCATTTATGTTTGTTTGTGTGTTTGCATGTCTGTTTGCTTGTGTGTTTGTATGTTTGCCAGTTTGGAATGTTTTTTTGTTTGCAATGTTTGAGTGAACATTTTTTACAACGGGCATTGTTTTATTTTGTGAAACATAAATATGTATAAAAGAGGAAATTATACAAATTATGTTAATTTATGTCTATTTGTTTTGTTTGAATGGATGTATGTATGTCCGTTTGTGTATGTGTTTATGCGGGTATGTATATTTGTGCGTGTGTGTCTGTGTATTTGTTTGTGTGTTGTTGTGTGTCTGTGTATTTGTTTGTGTGTTGTTGTATGTCTGTGTGCTGGCCTCTCCTCTTGCATGCCAACAAGTTTAAAACGTGCATTGCTTGCCGAAATGAGAATGCGTTTATAAAATGAGATTAAATTTTATGTTCGTAAATATGCTGTATATATACTTACATGTATATACATATATGTATATATATATATATATAGAGAGAGAGAGAGAGAGAGAGAGAAAGAAAGAAAGAAAGAGAGAGAGAGAGCGAGCGAGAGAACGAGAGAGCGAGAGAAAGAGAGAAAGAGAGAAAAAAAAGAGAAAAAAAAAGAGAAAAAAAAGAAAAAAAAGGAAAATTAATATATAAATACTAACTTGCAAACATAAAATAAAAATGCAATAAGATGCATTAACAACCTAACAACAAACAGAAAGACAAGGTAGTTATACGAAAATAGTTCAGAATAATACAAAAACATACAAACGCACGAAATAATACAACAGAAAAAACATATATGCAAACATACAAATAATACAAGTTACAAACATACAGGAAATACGATACAACGTACGAAAACCTACAACGCAACATACAAACATACAAAAATACACAATACAATTATACAAAAGGGAGGACATTATGGAACAACCCCTTCGCCATCTTACGTCAACCACATGCGTCGTATTAGCGCTGCATCTAGTCAGGAAATGCTAACATCTCCAAGCATATGCTCTCTAAGTAAACAGCAGTAATTGTACTACTAACTGTTGTAGGAGTAATTTTTTCATTAAAAATAATATTGATAATAACACTACTACTTCCATGGTTACTACTACTGCAGCTACAACTACTGCTACTACTGCTGCCACTGCTGCCGCTACTACATCTGCTACTACTACTACTACTCCTACTACTACTACTACTACTACTACTACTACTAATACTAATACTTATACTACTATAAGTGGTAGCAGTAGTATTTGAGTGAAAGAATTTGTTACAGTAGTATTATTAAAAGTCATATTAGTAGCAGTGATCAAAAGAATATCTTGTCAAAGGACGATCTTAAATTGTAACAAAATCGATTCTATATCCAGTATTTAGAATATATACAGTAACTAAGAATTAATAATATATATTTCTTATTTTGTTAATTTCAATTTAATTTAATTTAATTTCATAATTTTATTAAAAAAAAACATACCATAAACACCATTTTATTTTGTTACATCGATAGTTCAATTTTGATTGGATAAGAAGCAATGGTCACACACTTATTCTCATCTATAAAACTCCTTTACAATATTTAGGGTATATACTTGAAGTATTTGCAGTATTTGTGCAGTATAAAACTTAATAGCCGACTCACTAACAAGTAGTTGTAGTAGAAGAAGTTGTGACAGAGAAGCTTATTGGAAAAAGTATTAAATTAAAATTCATGGGCACGTTAAGAAAACGCAGCTAGCGTCTTATAATGATATGCAATCATTTGAATGACTGTGTATGTGTGTGTAAGTGTGTTTGTTCGTGCGTGCGTGTGTGTAGGTGTGTATGTGTGTGTGTGTGAATGTATTTATCATTCCATCCATCTCCTTCATTATCACATGAAAGAGCCTATGTGTAATTGTATGTTGTGTGCGTTTGTATGTTTGTGTTTCTTTGTTTGTGCATATGTGTATGTATGTATGTATGTATGTATGTATGTATGTATGTATGTATGTATGTATGTATGTATGTATGTATGTATGTATGTATGTATGTATGTATGTATGTATGTATGTATGTATGTATGTATGTATGTATGTATGTATGTATGTATGTATGTATGTATGTATGTATGTATGTATGTTAAAACTAAAACATGATGAGTGACACTGAACCGTCAAACATCAAGTAACAAATAGATTAACACTTTGATTTGTCGTTAATTGCACATGTCGGCATTCAGTTGGATATTTTCAAGCACACAGACACGCAGGAACCGCTGCAACAAGCACGAAATGTGGTTAGTTGCGAAAAACAGTTTCCTGCTGTCGCCTGATCTGACGTTGATCATTTTACATATTGCCTTAAGAAATTTAAGGGTGTTGGGGTCCATCGGGCCAAGAACCTCGATGCATATTGGCAAGAATTCCATCGAGGGGAGGGCGTTCCCATATTTTTTCATTTTCTCGTCCGCTGCCCTGGCCGCGGCCAGGGCAGCGAACGAAAAAATTGATGTATGTATGTATGTATGTATGTATGTATGTATGTATGTATGTATGTATGTATGTATGTATGTATGTATGTATGTATTTATGTATGTATGTATGTATGTGTTTGTCTGTATGTATGCATGTTTATGTAGGTTTNACGCACATGTGGGTGTATGTTATTTATTTTAAAATTTGCATCTAATCTATAGTGGCGTGCTATCGAAGGATGAAAAATAATTTTTTCTTCCGGTCGTCATCCACCTTTTACTCTATCGGCATCATTTTTAAGGGTGCTTGCTGGAGTGAGATTTCATCGTTATCATCATCATCATTGTCGTCTTTATCGTCATCGTCGTCGTCTTCCTCGTCACCATCATCATCATCTTCTTCTTCAGCCTCAGCAACACCCACGTTCCACACCAATGCCATCAAGATGAGACAGGAAAATCTAATTTTAATTAAAATGACACGACCATAAATTACATAGATTGATGGAAACACACACACACACACACACAAGCGTCTTGCACACAGATATATACTCATAAAATTACACATACACAAATATAAACACATGTGTACAAACTGGAGTTTATTCGGGGAATTTTATCGCAAATGTTTTTTGTAATGATGATATTTCCAGATTGATTTTGTTGGAAGTTTATGTTCTGTCTTAACCCTAACCCTAACCCTAACCCACACGCACGCACACATCGCAGTGTTTGTTAGTGGTTTATCATTTATCAGTTCCAACTTTTGGTGTGTTATTTTGCCCTTAACTATGAGGAATTAAGATAGTATTAAACATCAGCAGGCAAACAAAATTTAAACTGAATCGTTTCAACATCTATATTTCTTACAGATTCAGCAAAAACATTAGCATGTGAATCAATGGAGAGCCCATGGTGTTAAAGCTAACAGCACAAACCCATCCTAAATACGATTGAAATGCGATTGAATTGTTTCAATATGAAAATTTCTTTCGAATTAATTTTTCTCACAATTTTGTCCGCCGGCTCTTGGCGACGAATTCAATCGTTTCAATATTTACATATATTTTTCTCAATTCAAGTGTCTCTTACATTTATCCGCTATCTCTCTGCGAGGTATTACGCTGGTATCAACAAACTAAAACCAACGAAAAAAATTAGAAACCCTTTCCATATGCACAATATTACAATTTCTTTTGATATGTTTCAAGTTTCTCACAACTGGTATCAAGAAACTTATTGTAATAAATTACATAATACATATTATTTTAATTAATCAATTATATTATATTATTATTTATTTATTTATTGAACTTTTCTGATGACAACCACTAACATTTTTAATGGCAGTCCAATTTTTTATCTGTTCTTTCACCATGAGTTTGGCGACTCATTTCATTTTCACCACAATTTTGTCGTCCGCAGACTCTCAGCGAGCGCTTGAACTGCTTCAATCTTTCAGGTTTCTCACATTTTTGTTCGCTACTGGTCTACCACTACAACAACAACAACAACAACAACACTTCCAGTACTACCGGTAATAAAAATTATCATTATATTAATTACTATAGTAATAATAATAATAATGATGCAATGGTATTATTCCATTTTTCTGACCACAATAAAATAAGTGACCCCGGGTTGATGAATTGCTTGGGAGAATGGAAGATTATTATTAAAAATATGTCGAAAGATAAGTAAACGAATTATAAATGAATGAGTGGTGAATGAGTGAATAAATAATTGATTAATTGATTGAATGAATAATGAATGAATGAATGATGGATGAATTTATGAATGATTGATTGATTGATTGATTGATTGATTGATTGATTGATTGATTGATTGATTGATTGATTGATTGATTGATTGATTGATTGATTGATTGATTGATTGATTGATTGATTGATTGATTGATTGATTGATTGATTGATTGATTGATTGATTGATTGATTGATTGATTGATTGATTGATTGATTGATTGATTGATTGATTGATTGATTGATTGATTGATTGATTGATTGATTGATTGATTGATTGATTGATTGATTGATTGATTGATTGATTGATTGATTGATTGATTGATTGATTGATTGATTGATTGATTGATTGATTGATTGATTGATTGATTGATTGATTGATTGATTGATTGATTGATTGATTGATTGATTGATTGATTGATTGAATAAAAAATTTGAGAGCGATTAAAATTATAGACTTGACTGCTCGATAATGCAATGAATGAACGAATGAACAAACGAACGGATGGATGGATAGATGAATAAATATGTGAATGAAAGTATGAATGATGGATTGAATAAATAAACGAAAGAATGAATGATTGATTGAATGAATAAACGGCGCTTTGTGAGTGATTAAAATGTATAAATAAAGAGCTTTATGAGGCTACGAATGGATGAACGAGAAAACGAGCAAACGAACGAATGGATGAACAAGAGAACGAGCAAACGAACGAATGAATGAACAAGAGAACAAGCAAACGAACGAATGAATGAACGAGAAAACGAGCAAACGAACGAATGAATGAACGAGAAAACGAGCAGCGATTGAATGAATGAACAAATGAATGAATAAACAAAAAAATGAAAATTGTACACACATTCATACACACGCACGCTCACGCACATTACAAATTTTTTTGTTTTTTCATAAAGATTTTCTCCCTCTCCATTCATTGAATTTAATTAACTACAATATTTTTGTCCGGATGACTTTGGTATTTCATTTTAATCTTCTATTTTTGTGGTTTGACTCGTGTTTTGTGTTTTCCGTCAGCTATAAATTTCTTTGTACCATATTAAATTTCGGGTTTCTTTCGTTGAAAAGAATTTCTTTTGACAAATTCACTCCCAGAATAAATATTTTTCTATTCAGTTATTTGACAAGTAAAATTTAAAAAAAAATTTTTTTCAAAATCATTAAATTTTCTTTTTCCCATCATCAAATTTTTTAATTTTATTAAAATTTTAAAACTTCCCGCCGAAACTCTCTCCTTCCAGGTAGACGACATATCCTCAGGCGAGCTTTGCACTGATGATGATGATCTTGAATGCAAGAGGAGTCCAGTCACGTGAGTTATGATGATGATGATGATGTTGACAACGATGATGATGATGATGATGACGACGGCGATGACGATGATGATATTGATGATGATAATGATGATGTTGACGATGACAACGACGATAATGAAGACGAAGGAGGAAAAGAAGAAGAAGATGATGATGATGAAAAAATGATAATAAATATATTGTTCTTGTTATTTCTATTCAATTATCACTCTTTTTAACATTTTTTTAGTTTATGATGAAAATTTTATAAGGTCAGGATTTTTGCATAGTTTATTTATTACATCATTATTCGATTTTCTCACATCACGCGATGAAGTAAATTTGATACATGGGAATGCAGCAGTAAGAGCCAATCAAAAACTTGAATGCATCAGAAGGACGGTGGTGAGCTGAGAGAAGTCGATCATTATGAACTCGTATGAAACATTGGTTCGCCCTCGTTTCGATTACTGTTCAAAGGTTTGGAGTCCAGATCTGCAAAAAGGACAAAGACATTCTTGAACGGGTACGGCGTAGAGCAACAAAGAAGATCGAAAGAGTTGGAAAACTAGAATGAAGAGATAGACTGAAAAAATGCAGGTTAAAAACTCTAGAAAGGAGAAGATGCAGAGCAGATCCGATTCAGACATATAAGTTAATAACTGGAAAAAAAGAAACCCCATTCCATTCACCAGATTCTTTCAACTAGAAAATAGGAAAAGATTAAGAGGTCATAGATACAAGCCCTTCAAGAAGACAGAAAATCCAATAAAGCAAATATTCTTCAGAAGCAGGGTGGTAAGCGCCTGGAAGGAGCTGAGCGATGAAATTGTTTCAGTGGATTCAATCAACAATTTTAAAATCAAGCTAGGAGAGGTAGGACATTTATTCTGTTGTGGTTCTTTCACAGATGCTAGTCTACTGAACCACTTTGAACTTTGTAATTATTATTATAAGTAGTAATTACCACAAAGTAATTTTTACTATAGAATTAGTTTTTACTCACTGGAGAATTAATTTGTGTATTATTTACTGTGTGGATGTTCTTTGTTGCGTGTACGAGATAGCATTGTGGTGTAAGGAGAAATTTTATTTATTTATTTATATTTTGAAAAAATAATTGGATAATAATTTGTGGAATTATTAAGAAGTATTGTATTACAACTTCGAAGTTTTTCCTTATAAAATTCTTTTTTTTTAATTTCAAAAATAATAGATTTTTTCTGCGTCCGTTACATCACCTTTAATCCATCCTGAAACGATTTTTTATCTTGCTCTTTCTTCCTTCCGTCTCTCTCTTTCCTCCTTTCTCACTCACACACTCTCTCTCACTCTCTTCCTTTCTTTCTTACTCACTCACTCACTCACTCTCTTCCTTTTATCCCAAATTTCCTGATAACTCTCGTCTTCCTCATCATTTTCCGTAACTCACACGGATATCAAAACCTTTCCACATGCTTGTACGTACGTTTAGACAAAACGCCACAGACACAGGCGAACGCACACATTCACGTAGAAACACACAAAGTATTACAAACATTAAGGAATGGTTTTAAACAAGTATGCGCAAGTAACTACAAGAGGGAGAGGCAAAAACTTTATACTCAGAAAAAATCACCACACCACACACACACGCACGCACACACACACACACACAACACACATACACACACACACGCAGTCATTCAACTTTTCCAGCCGGTACAAACTTGTTTTCCTAGCACTCGCTTCATTGAGCATCAGCATGGCTGCAGATTATATGCATTTTGGCAGATCTATTTACTGAGGAACTCTCATTTCCGCCCCCACTCACACACAAACACACACACGTACACACACACATACACACACACACTCACGCGTATACACACGCACACGCAAACGAACATAAGGATGTTACTCTTTTTCTTTATCTTTTTCTTTATATTTGCATGATACCTGAAAGATGGAAAGATGTCGTAGAGTAGTGGAGAAATGCTGCCCACAAATTGTGAGCTGAAAATTTGATATGAAATAAGCACAAAACTTCAAAACTTGATCGAAAAACATTACACTAATGAATAAATAAATAATTCTTAAACAAATTTAATGAATTGACATTTTATAGTGTTATTTATAATTAGTAGTATTGTTAATTCGTTTCAGTATTTGTGATACTTAACAGTATTAATTAAAATTTTATTTTTAGAACAAAAATTCCATGGCAAACTTCCACCTCCATTCGCTGTCTCTACGATGATTTGAACTGTACATACAACAACAACAACAACAACAACAACAACAACAACAACAACAACAACAACAACAACAATATTAATAATAATAATAAGTTGAGTAAGATTTTTAACGTTAACAACATCAGCAGCAGTAACAACAATATGAACATGAATGCAAATTTTTTAGCGGGTAACAACAACATCTACAACAACAACAACAACAACAACAATAACTTTAACAACAATAATAATTTTAATTTTAATAACAATTTCAACAACGCAAGCTCACACGCATTCCTAAACCCAAACAACAACTACAGAAATATCGACAACAGTGCTTACAACAACGTGGATGTTAATTATTCAAGAAAGTTTAACACTTCGCAACAGTTTTTTGACTTAAACTACAACCAACCATCGATTTTCAACGGCCACAACAACAACGACAACAACAACAACAGAAACCACAACAGCGACAACAACAGAAATAACTACAACAACGACATTTATTTGCCTTCTGCGAACGCTTTCACAGTTTCAGCATCATCGATAACATCAACAACCAACAACAACAACAAACCAGCAAAAACCAACTCCACAAACAACAACGTCAACAATTACAAAACAACCTCCCCAACCTCCTCCTCCTCTCACAGCAAACCGATTATCTCACTTAACGTCGGTATCTTAATCGGTATCGTCACATCGGTCACCGCATCTCTAATAATCGTGTCGATATGTCTGTACCATCGCTACAGGAAGCGTGAAGAAGGCAGCTACAAGATCGATCCACCGAACACTACCGCCACCACTAACTACCTATACTGCACGGGCACCTCGAGTCACAACAGCATGCTGATGATGATCAACTGTGCTCCGACGAAACCGTACCCCGACGATGATCTAATTACAGACTGCAGAATAAATAACACGAATAATTTCAGCTTAAACAATGGGATAAATACTAGTGAAAGTAATTTTAACGATTGCACAGGCGGTAGTAGTAGCAGCGTTAATAAAATCAAAAACAGTAATTTCAAGAATATTAGTAGCAGTAGTAACATCGGTAGTAACATAAAGTTTAGTGTGGGCAGTAATAAAAGTAACGTTCATAAGTTGTGTGCGAAAAAGACGAACAAGCAGAAAAACAAAAACAGCAATCCCGTCGGCAAAGCGTCAAACATCATCAACAGATACAACAGCAACAACAAAAACGATAACAACAAGCGAACTAGAGATGGCATAAAAAAATCAACGAGTCGGGAATGGTACGTATGATGGGGGGGAGAAAATTTCGCAGAAATTCAGAAAATTTTTCGCGAAAGTTCATTTCGCGATTGAATCGTTTGCTATCAAATAAGCTCTTTCATACTTTTGAACAAAATATTTAATTCAAAGTTACACTCTATATTTATTTTGCAAAATTCGTAAAACAAAATTTTCTCAAAAGTTCATATCATATCCTGATGTTATTCACGTTACTGTCACATTACATAATCAATTATGGTATTCTTATTAGTTATATTAAAAATTAATAATAATAATAATATTATTATTATAAAGTTAATAAATAATTAACAACGCCGGCAATAATAAACATAATAAAATAAAGAGCCCCACAATAACCATAACAACAAATATGCCAAAGTAATAAACAAATATAAATATATTGTCAAATATTTTAGTAATTGTCGCATCTATAACAACAATAACCAATTGCTGTTGTTATTATTATTTTTAATATAATTAGTATTGAATCATTAGTAGCAACTATATATGAAATTTTTACTATATTTAATACAAAACCATTGAACACACACACACACACACACACACACATACATGCGCACACCATACACCCATACACACACCATACACACACACACACACACACACATACACAGTCATATAGAAGTCCAGACCAGATAACATTTGACTGTTTATACACTCCACAATCAGGAGCTTTCACTCCAAATTCCCAAAACGTAATTTTATTTCAGGGCTATCTCCAACTCAGTTTTAGGGGCACCTTGAACTCAAAGACCCATCCCTCCATATATATCATTCATACTGGCTATAAAATATTTATATTAAGATTATATATAATTAAATGAATAAATTAATTATTTGTAAATAAATATAAACATTATTTTCATTACTTTTCGTACTTTTTTTATTTAATAATTTACTTATTTTTTAGATAATAATGCGTCATGATGAGAAGAACAATCCAAGATTAGTTTATTAAACATGAAGAAAAAGTTATTTGTAGTCTTGGTTTAACTGAAATTTATAATAAATGAACAAACCAAAAATGAATGAGTGAATGAATGAATGAATGAATGAATGAATGAATGAATGAATGAATGAATGAATGAATGAATGAATGAATCAATCAATCAATCAATCAATCAATCAATCAATCAATCAATCAATCAATCAATCAATCAATCAATCAATCAATCAATCAATCAATCAATCAATCAATCAATCAATCAATCAATCAATCAATCAATCAATCAATCAATCAATCAATCAATCAATCAATCAATCAATCAATCAATCAATCAATCAATCAATCAATCAATCAATCAATCAATCAATCAATCAATCAATCAATCAATCAATCAATCAATCAATCAATCAATCAATCAATCAATCAATCAATCAATCAATCAATCAATCAATCAATCAATCAATCAATCAATCAATCAATCAATCAATCAATCAATCAATCAATCAATCAATCAATCAATCAATCAATCAATCAATCAATCAATCAATCAATCAATCAATCAATCAATGGATAAGATAAATGGATGAAAGAAGAGCGAGTGAATGAATGAGCGAATGATCGGATTAATTCCAAAAAAACGAATGGTTATAAAAACAATTCAAAAATTAATAATCAATAGAAAACGTTAATTATGTATGTGTGTGGTGTGTGTGTATGTGTGTGTGTGTATGTATGTGGTGTGTTTGTTTGTGTGTGTGTGTATGTGTATGAAGTTAACAGTTATTTATTATTCGTAAGCAAATGGCAAGCTGTGTAATTATATGTTTTTTTTTCATGCGTTTACGCTAACGAATTGTATTCATACAGCAACAAATAGAAAAAAATTCACATACATTAAAAAAATACAAACAGAAGCATGCATACACTTACGTGTTTTTTGTATGTGTACATATATATATTCATATATATATATATATATACATACATACATACATATATATATATATACATACACATACAGACAAAACATACAAACAAACATAGATACATTTAATTAACGTAATTTGTTTATAGTAAAATAATTTAAAATAATTTTTCATTATACTACTTACTTACAAGGCTGTTTTTCTTTCAGAAAAGACACTTTTAGGTATTACAAACAAAATACAAATTAAGAAAAAAATACAAAACTAAAACATACATACAAAGTTACACATGCGAATACCGTTTTGTGTGTTATTCAAACATATACAATCTTGTATCAGTACGTGTATGTGTGTGTGTGGTATGTTGTGTGTGTTGTGTGTATGTGTGTTTGTGTGTCTGTGTGTGTAAAAGAGAGAGGGCGTGTTTGTGTAAGAAAGAGAAAAATAAAGAAAGAATGTGTGTGTTTATGTGTGTGTTTGTGTGTGTGTGTGTGTTTGTGGTGTGTGTGTGTGTGATCCAAAAGTTTCATGTTAAAAAAGGCAGTTTTTAATTACAAAATGTCAAATATAATATGACATTTATCATAATTAAAAACAGTATTAAAAAACGAATAATAATAAAAATAATAATAACAATTATTATTATTATGTTTATTTATGTTTATTTATTTTTTAATCATAATTATTATTTATTCAACAAAAAGACAGCAAAGAAAGAATGCTTTTATGTCACCTTCTCTATCACGACGATGGTGATCGTGATTAACATCATCGTTATCGGTTTCACTATCACATCATCATCATCATCAACAACAACACTACTACTATCATCATCATCATCTTCGTCGTCGTCGTCATCATCATCATTTGAGTCACTATCGTAACACATCATCATCGAATCATCACAACCAAATTCGGTCACACTTAAAAACATTGTACCATCATCACCACCATAATTATATCATTATACCATCATCACCAAATTACCACCATCATCATCATCATCATATTATTATTATTATTATTATCATCACATCGTCATCATCACATTTCTGCATGACATCATCACCACATTCCTTTAACGTCACCATAATCATCACATTTTCATCATCATCATCACCATCATCACATTCCATCATCACATATCCTGTAAAAGTTGAACGTGTAGACGGAGTAGTGGTGCTGGAGTTTGCATGGTGACACCTAGGAAGGAATTTTAAAATTAAATGAACGAACGAACGAACGAATGAATGAATGATAATAGAATGAATGAACAGGTGAATAAACGAATGATAAAAAGTTATTTTCATATAATTTTTTCTTATAACTTTTATAATAATAATAATAATTTTTATTAAATATTTTCATGGAATATCTACATCAACATTTTAATCATTATCATCATCATCATTATTCTTCATCGTTAAATTTTGTTTTCATTATTGCGTTATTATCATTATCATTAATAACATAATCATCATCATCATCACCACCATCCCTTACCCCCATCTGATTGGTGGCTCTAAAGGTGTACTGGGAGTTGTGGTAGAAACCCACTGGCAAGTTCCAGAGGAATATTCCGGACTTTTTTTTATAAAAAAAATTATGTGACTATCATAAACTCTCAGACAAAAAATTAAACTTTCAATCATTTGTTCGTTTGATCATTCAATCATTCATTTCGTTCGTTTTTTGATTAATTATAAAAATTGGTATATAAAACGAATTTGCGTTGGATATATATAGTATCGTAAAAATATCATTCATTCATTCATTCATTCATTCATTCATTCATTCATTCATTCATTCATTCATTCATTCATTCATTCATTCATTCATTCATTCATTCATTCATTCATTCATTCATTCATTCATTCATTCATTCATTCATTCATTCATTCATTCATTCATTCATTTGTTCATTCATTCATTTATTCACTCACTCACTCATTCACTCATTCATTCATTCAAATTCATTCATTCACTCATTTGCTTTTTCTTTCAATCATATTTTCAATCAATCAACCAAGCAATCACTCAACTAGCCAGCCAGCCAGCCATCCATCCAGCCAGCCAGCCAGCCATCTAGCCATCCACCTATCCAGCCATCCAGCCAGCCAACTAACGCTCTTAGTGATGTAGAGATCGTTGTTGAGGCGCTGCTCACAAGTCCTTTCCTTGTTCTCGCCGCAGAATTCTACGTTCACATCCTCGCTACTTGCTAAGGGCCTGTATTTGAAAGAAAGAATGGATGAATGGATAGATGGGTGGATGAATAAGTGAATGGATTGATGAATGGATTGATGAATAGACGGATGAATGAACGAACGAACGAACGAACGAACGAATAAACGAACGAACGAGCGAACGAGCGAACGAACGAATAAACAAACGATTGATTGACGAATGAATGATTGAATAAATAAAGGAAAGAAGAAAGAAAGGAAAAAACGAATGAATAAACGAGAGACGAAAAGATTAAGTAGCCATCACCATCATCTCATCATCATCATCATCGTCACCAACATGAATCGGATAGTAACGACATCTTGCGGATATCTCTTTGATACTGGGATGTCGTAGGTGAAGTTGGATCCGGACATCTTCCGGCAGTCATCAGTTGAGCAGAAATCCAGGTTTATCGTTTCGTTCGTCTGCTCGATCCTTATCATCATCATCGCCATTTTTGTCGCTGATGTGATGTTGTTGTTAGTAGTGATGTTGTTGTTGGTAGTGATGTTGTTGTTGTTGTTGCTGTTGTTGTTGTTGTTGTTGTTGTTGTTGTTGTTGTTGTTGTTGTTGTTGTTGTTGGGAGGAATATCTCTTTTCAATCTGTCGTTTTTCCTGCCATCATTGCTTACGAATTTCATCTTATTTGATCTTTGAACCTTCAACTGTGTCGTTTATTAACATAATTTATTGCAATTGACATAATTCACTACAATTAACATAATTTATTATAATTAGTATATTTTTGCGATGACGATTATTATCATCATTTTTACTGTTCGTCGTCATTTTATTTTTAAAAATCATTATCATCATCACCGTCGTCATCATATCATCATCACCATACCATCACTGCAATCGTCATCATTATCAGTATCTTTATAACAATAATAACCATCATCATCATTATCATCATCGCCATAATTATCACCCTCATTGTACCCTACTCACCTTAGTCTTGTTATCCTTTGGCTTCTTATGTTTAACGTAACGATCTATATTGTTATCATTATAACCATCGTAATAATCCAGAAAATTATTAATATTATTATCGCCATCATCATCATCAGCAGCAGTAGCATGGTGTATCCGGGGTTTTGATGTGGGATAATTGGGATAACGATCAATCCACCACGGATAAACGACTTTCCGTTTTGGGGTCGTTGAAGTTCTGTGCCTCGTGGATTTCTTAGTTGCTGTTGATGTTTTTGTTGCTCTTGCTTTTTTGGTTGTTGTTGTTGTTGCTGTTGTTGTTGTTGTTGTCTGGTCATCGTAGTCATCGTTGTCGTTGTTGTTGTTGTCTATGTAATTGTCATCATCGTAATCACCGATGTTATTGTTGTAATCTTGACTGCCTGGATACGAGCGATGTCAGAATTCTCAAAATATGATAAAACCATTTGAGACCGAAGAAATATTCAGATAGCATGAATCACTTGTACCATAAGTGCATTGGTCCTATCGCCATTATCATCGTCATAATCATCACCATAATCCTATCATCATCATCAGCGTCACCATCATCGTCGTTGTCGTCATCATCGTCACTATCATCATCGTCGACGTCATCATCATCATTATCATCATCATCATCACTATCATCATCATCATCACTATCATCATCATCATCATTACCATCATCATCATCATCATCATCCTCTTCACCATAATCATCACCTCCACCTCCACCACCATCTTCCGGGTTATCTGACGGCATTTCACAGCAGACGACGGGACAGGAAGACGGTGACGTCAAACATTTTGGCGGGATCAGGTATTGAGGTTTTGTAGATGGCGCTGGTGAGAGAAAATAATTTTTTTTTAAATAAAAATTATTATAGTTATAATTATTACGAGTAACATCATCGTCGTCATCGTCATTTTTATCACTTTCGTTATCACTATTGTCATCATCTTCATCATCTTCGTCATCGTCATCATCATTATTATCGTCATCATCATCAAAACTCACGCTGATAGCTAGGCGGCATGTTGCTCGTCATATTTTGAAACGTTTGCAATGACTGTACTCTGTTTGTATACAAATATACAAACAAACAATCACTAACAAACATATACAAACATACAAACAAATACAAACATGTACAATTAAACATGTTCAAGCATACAAGCGAATACAAACATACAAACACCTTCATCAATTAATTAACGTAAGCAAAGATAAAAACATACAAACAAATACAAACAAGCACACAAAAAAAGATACAAAGTAATATACAAACAGTTTTTGTGTTTGTTCGTTGTTTGTCTGCCTATCAATGATGTACAGGGTCGTAATGGAAATCAAGCTGATAACATGGAAAAAATATGCGCTTCTTTAATATAATTAAATAAATTATGTTAATTAATTAAATAAGTAATGTTACTATTACTACAAATGCAACTACTACTACTACTACTATTACTACTACTACTACTATTTTTACTACTACTACTACTAACCAGGCAGCCATGATAATGATGAGCAGTATGACAACAATCTGCATGGCTCTACTTGACCATATGAGCTGGTGAGGTTGCAACTGTTGCGACGTTGTGGCTGTTGTCGTTAGTCTTCTCGTCGCGAGAGGGGATGACGCTGACGATGACGATGTTGTTGACGATGACGATGATGACGACGTTAGTGACGTCATGCAGCCGTCATTTTGGTGCTTTTTGTTTCTGTTGTTTTTGCTGCTTGTGTCGTTGCTGATGTTGTTGCTGCTGCTGACGTATTGTGGAGCAGATTGGCTGTTGCATCTTTTCACGGATCTACACGGACGGAAAATTTGAAAATAATTCGAGTTGAACATAAAACAGGGAAACCAAGCTACTAGATCAAGCAAAACGATACTGCAATACAACACGCCGATGCCAAAACAACAGCAAATCAACACGTAAGCTAACTGACCCCGCCCCAAGCGAAACACCGGAAACGGATGATTGACTTCCGGCACGTGAAGACCATGCACTTCCGAGTTTATCTCTACAGAAGGATGCCAACTTCTTGCGCATGAGTTCCATCTCACTGATCCTGTCCTCCAATTTGTCAGTCACCTTGCACAGTTCCTTCACTGCTCCAATGTTCTCCATGAAGATGCGGTCCTGCAGGGAGTGAGTGGAAAATAAACTTCAAACCATCCAACCAACCGACCGATCAACCAACCATCCAACCATCCTATCAACTGACCAGCCAACCGACCAACCACCAATCCACCAACCGGCCGACCAACCAACCTTGTTAACTACCAGAAATCTATCAATCACCTCTCCACTACTCAGCATCACATCTCCAGTCTCTCGGACAGCATCCGGAAGTACTCTGTGAACTTCCTGTGCAAGTACACCAGCACCTAACTTCTCCTCATCCGACAGACCTGCATACTCGGCGAACTCTTCGTTGAACTGGAAGCGGTAGACTTTGAGCTGGTTGATGTTCCGAAGTTGTTCGCTTGTGTCCAGCTGTTTTGATGATGATGATGATGATGATGGTGATGATGGTGATAATGGTGATGATGATGATGATGATGATGACGACGGTGATGATATAGGTGATGATGAAGGCAATAATGATTATCATCATTATCAAAACTCTTAATCACCATTCGTCACTAACTTCTTGCACGATATTTTTAACCCTGGTATCAGATGGGGCCATGACCATGCCGGTGACCTTGACATTGCCGTGAACTGTCAGGGTTTCGTCGGGGTTGTCCGTGTTTATGCCTACTCTACCCTTTGATCGATGAACGAATGAATGAATTAGGGAAGGAGTGAATAAATTAATGAATTGACGAATAAATGAATGAATTAATGAATGAATGAACGAACGAACGAATAAATAAATGAATGAATGGATAGACGGATGGATAAAATAGAGCGTATTTATTCCAAATTAATGAATTCGTCGAGTGCACTTGAAAATTCGAACAATTTCAAATAGCAGTTTTTAATAATAGTGACTAGTCTCCAATTCGCTCGAGTATTTCTCTTTACTGTTGAGTATTGTTCGCGTTTTTAAATGTACGAATGTTATTTTCGAGTGTTTTTGGAAACTTCCTTCACGTTTGGAGAGTATTTTGGAGACTTTTTATCAACAACTTTTGGTTAATGGTGACGTCATTTTTGTAGCTGGATGAATGTGCATTGATGAACGTAGCTGTGTGACGTTACGATGACGTCATTATTAATGATGATATGTTAATCACTATGGCTAACGTTGTTGATGTTAATGATGTTAATGTTCTTGTTTGTGTGTTTGTTAATGTTTTTTGAGTGCGTTTGTACGTGCGTATGTGTGTACGTGTGCATGTGTCTGTGTGCATGTGTGTGCTTATATTTCTGCGAAATGAAATTATAACCCGTAAAACTGGTTAGTGCAAATATGGAAATGAGTTAAATGATGACGATGACGACGATGATGATGACAAGGATGATGAGGTTGATGGTGATGATTATGATTATTACTATTAATTTGATGATTATTATTATGATTATGATGAAAATAATGGCAATTAGGATGATGATGATGAAATCAACGAAAATGATAATATAAATGATAACACGATGACGATGACGATGACGAAGATGATGACGACGACGATTTATTTATTACATTTTTAGAAGTGGAACTCGTGTAAGTGAGTGTAACGTTGGTGTGTAGGATTGGTAAATTAAAAATTATGAACGCCGAACAGTATCATGCCGTATCATCACTGTCAAGGACGTAATATCACGACTGATATTATTCTATCATCATTGTCATTGTATCATCATCGCCGTCATCCACATCATCATCGTCATCACCATCAACATCATCATCGTCATCATCAGTAGCATAGTGAGTGAGTGACTAACTGCGTGATATATGGCATCAGCACCTTTACCTTTGTTCCAAATCGCTTCAACATCACTTTCAAACTGCCCTGGGTTAGATGCCTGTGTGTTTGTGTGTGTGTGTGTGTGTACGTGTGTGTGTGTGAGTGTGTGTGGAAGCACATGATTACATCCAATAACTGTGTGTTTATTTGTTGTATGTATACAACAATGTGGACAAGTTTGTATGCGAGTTTTTGTATGTACGCTTAGTGTTGAGTGTTCGGTCGTAAAAATGGATAACTGAAAAAAACAAAAATTAATTAATCTAAAGTCAAATAGGGAAGAATAATTTAAAAAGAAATTGCAAAAGATAAATGAATAAATAAAGGAATAGATGACGGAACGAACAACCGAATGATGGAACGAACGAATGAAATAAATAAATGAATGAATGAATGCCAGCAAGCAAATTGTTTTAAGACGCCGTAAAAAATTTAATGATACTAAAAACGTTTAAAGAGGACTTTATTTGCAACAGAAAAACATTTTCTGACCCTGACGATAATTTTATCTGAAACGTAAGCAGCCGCCGTGTGGACGTTGCTGGAACAGTGGGCCTCTAGTGCCACAACCAGCTGGAAATATCGCTGGTCCGGGTTGGGTTTGCCCTGCAAAGGTTTGGAGGTTGTTAGAGGGTGAAGGTCATTGGGGTTGTAATGTTGTTGTTCGTTGTTGTTGTTGTTTCAGATTGGTTGTTTGGTTGGTTGGTTGTTGTTTAGTCGATCATTATTATGTAATGATTGTTGTTTAGTTTCTAAAATAAAATAAGTAAAGACTTTTGAACTTTTTATAATTTGACAAAAATACAAATAAAATATAGACAAGGGAATGTTTAAAACTTGAAAATAGTGCAAACTAATTACACAGACACGGACGCACCTTCTTCCTCATGTTGTTCAGCGTTGTCTCACTGAAGTGCAGCCTGCCCACTGTTATCTTGTTCACCTCGTCTGCCATCAAATCCAAGCTAATTAGAATAAGCAAAAATTATTTCAGAGTGACTTGTTTGATTAATTATTTTGTTACGAAAAAAGTGCTTTAAAGTTGTTGATCGTACGATATGCTGTGATATAGTTGTTGTTGTTGTTGTATCTCTATTATATTAGTCTCCGTTTGTACTTTTCAATTTTAATTACTGGCGGTGGGATGGTACAATGATGAGAGATGTCGTGTCTCACGTTCAAGCTACCTGGTTCAAACGCATAAAGATCCCCGCCCATCAGACATAACGTGCAAAAATGTTGATCTAAGCGCAGTCATTTGCCTACAAAACCTTGAACAACACCAAAAATAACAACAACAAACAACATCGACATATATACATATATAGGTAAAATGGCTGACACAAAACAATAAAGTAGTTATGAGAGCAGAGACAAAAATACAATGGAGACAAAACAAACAACAATACACAAACCACAACATACAAATAAAAACATACGAAAACAACATACAAAAAAAACAATAAAGTAGTTATGAGAGCAGAGACAAAAATACAATGGAAACTAAACAAACAACAATACACAAACCACAACATACAAATAAAAACATACATACAAACAACAACATACAAACAACAACAACATACAAACAACAACATACAAAAACAACAGAAACATTTTTATCATGGGAATAGATCTGGGTCTATTGTTTCTCATCCATTAATCAAACGAATGTCTTTTTTCATTCTATCGATTGCAAGCTTACTGCCAAGTCATCGGTAAAGTCAATAATATTAATAATCATCATCGTCGTCGTCGTCTTCGTCATCTTCATCATCATCTTTTTTATCATCATCATTATCAGCACTATCGTTATCGTCATCATCACTTACGGAACCGGATTAAAAATTTTCTTGCTGCGATCCGATTGGGACTGTTCTATTTTGATCGTCTGGTTTGGAGACTCCGCCTGGTTATGATGATGATGATGATGATGATGATGATGATGATGATGATAGTGGTGGGGGTGATGATGATGATGATGATGATGATGATAGTGGTGGGGGTGATGATGATGATGATGATGATGATGATGATGATGATAGTGGTGGGGGTGATGATGATGATGATGGTGGTGGTGATGATGATGATGATGATGATGATGATAGTGGTGGGGGTGATGATGATGATGATGATGATGATGATGATAGTGGTGGGGGTGATGATGATGATGATTGTGACGATGGTGATGGTTGTGATGAGTATTGTTTTAATTAAACTGGGATTCTGGCAATGGCTTTGAGTTAGCGTCACGTGCAATGATAATATGTACTTTAATTAAAGAGGAAGATGCAGTTATGATGGAAAGTGATAATAAAATAAAAGTGATAATAAATATAACAGAACTCCACACACAAACCACTAACGAAAATACCACACACCACACCAAGCCACATCATGCCACACCATGCCACACCACACTACTCAATACCACACACCTTAATTCCATAAAAATGTAAGTAGAAGGCATCGATAGACTCCAGGATATCTGGAGAATCAGGATTCCTGACAAACTTGGGCCTGGAAGAGACGCTGACGTGGACGGTGACCTGAAAGTGGTTTTTCTTCTGGCAGACAAAAGATTCGTCAGGCGTGGCGAAATTGAAGCCTTTGTCAGCATCGACACGGTAGTTCATTATAGAGCTGCAGGATGTGGTTGGGTTATGCGTGAGGTTTTTTTGTGGTGGATAATGAGAGTCGTGATGTTAGATGATGATGTTTGTTTGTTTGTTTAACGGAATTTGTGTGTTTTTTTCTGATTGGGGGTAAGAGACATCTTGATGCCCTATGGTCAGTTGTTAAATAAATAAACAAGTATGTATGTATGTGTGTATGTGTGTGTGTGTGTGTGTTTTGTTTCTTATGTCTTTATTTATACACTGTATTTAGCAATCGAGTGTAGTTATAATTTCTAATGTACGTGAATAACAAGATGTTAGCATGCGCACACGTCTGAATTGAGAGAGTTTTTAACAATCAACTGCCTGTCGGTTGTCAGTCAATTGTGGTCTTGAGTCTTGATAGTCAAACCTATCTCGCGACAAACTATCATTAAAATTAGAAACGCACGGAACATAATGATTGAAATATTGTTGAAGAAACATGTTATATCCATCTACACAACAACTAACCCCACAACAACCCCACAACAACCACACAACAACCACACAACAACCGCACAGCCAACCACGTAGATACTAACGCTTCTCTGCCATTTTCATCAACCATGTAGACCCATTTGTTTGGCTGGTGGTTGGACCAGGTGATGACTCTGTAGGAACCGTCGGCAAAAACATTCGAATCGCTCGGATACTCGCAACCGAACGATTCGTCTTCAGAATTTTCTGGCGGTAACCCTTGTGGGTGATTATCAATTGACACTGAAAAAAATATTCTGTGATGATTCTATAAATTAATTCTCAATTTTGTTTAGTTTCAAGAAGAATTTTTTTGGAATTTCTGTTAATGAGGTTGTACATTCTTTTTAGTTTTGATACAAGAACATTTATAGTTAATTACATACGCACGGTTAAACCAATCGTAAATCAACCAACCATAATTGAAATCCGGTTCTGGTTTGATGGGAGCCTGCTGTTGTGGATGGCTGATGGAGGATTGCAGTAGAGGAGAATCCTGGTACTTTCGTTTCTTCGGTGGCTGGTGTGAAACTCCTGGCAAACTGTTGTGGTGAAATGGGATGGTGGTGGTGATACGAGATATAGAGAATTGGAAAGAGCACTGAGATGTCTTTCTTATTTATTTCTTATTCTTTATTTATTCCACATGTTCTATTTATCAAACGATTTGTATTCATTTCTTTCAAATATGAATTTATAGTACGAAATGTTGAAAACAGCAGATATAATATAATCACAAATAAAAAAATTAGGCGTAAATAAAAACCTACAAAAAAACATATCCCTTAAAAACATAAAATCATTTAAAGACAACCATACAAACAGCCATACAACTAAACAGACAAACAAACAAATAAATAACCAAAACTACATCACCAGCCAGCCAGCCAACCAGACAATCAAATCCACATACATTAATACGTTTCAGTGGAAGTTCATCATGGCCCCTTACAATAAATCACGCGCAGATATAGAAACTCATCCTTTAAATTAATGCATCTCTAATGATAGAACTGTCAGAACTATGTATACTACAAATATTTATTTATAATTTATTCATTTAAAATTATATACTCTCTATAAACATTAACGCGTATGACTGGCAAATATCGAATAACATACAACTTACACACACACTTACACACACACACACACAAACAAACAAACATACATACAACACACTCACACATACAAACATACGACACAAACAAACAAACATACGACACAAACAAACAAACATAGAACACACACACACACACATAAAACATAAATGCTAATAAATTCACATATCTTGAAAATTATAAATTCATATTTTGATAACATCAAGAGCTTCAATGTTTGTTGTTTACAAGCCACACACAGACATACACACACACCTGCAAGTACAAAAACATACACTATACACACATACATACTAAAAAACACATACACATACATGCAAACAAACACATACACATCCATACACACGCATACACATACAAACTTACAATCTAGACATACATACACAGCAAATGCATACGAAAAAAGAAGAATAATTAAAATATTGTAAAGAAAGAAAGAGCAAGAGGTAATAAAACTGAAGAAATTCGGTGAGATGATTTTCAATAGAGATAATAAAACAACTATAAAATACTCCATTTAAATCACACGATGTATCATACACACACACCGCACACACACACACACACACACACACCACACACACACACAAACACACATACCAACAAACATGCACACGCCACAAACACACGTACGCATACCAACAAACACTCACACATACTCACATACATACATACATACACAAACATACAAATATATTTGTATATATACAAAACCATACACAAACATACAAACATATCTGTATATTATATATACAAAACCACCATATAAAACGTCATAACGACAGCTGCTCAACGCTAAACTTGTCAATTAAGGTGTCCTTTGTGAATTATATGCATGGGGATTATAAATCAATCCATCGATTTTGGTATCATTTTTATAAAGCATCTTTTGGTGGATGAACAAATTTTTCGAATGAAATGATAGAATGGATGAAAGAACGAATGATAGATAGACGGATAGACGGATGGATAGACGAATATATGGATAGATAGATAGACGGATAGATGGATGGATAGATAGACGGATAGATGGATGGATAGATAGACGGATAGATGGATGGATAGATAGACGGATAAATGGATGGATAGATAGACAGATAGATGGATGAAAATGGATATAGATTTATGGATGCGTTGACAGATGACGAGGACATCGCCAGCATAATCAATAATGATGATGATAATAATAATAACAATAATACTAAAATAAAAAAAAAATATATATAATATATATATATATATATATATATTTAGGAACGAGGTTTTCAGAAATGCAAATTTCATTGAAATTGTTTGCCCATTTTGCATTAATTAACTTCTTTATAAGACATTCAACGAGGCGGTATTGTTTGAGTTCATATTTATCTAAAACTGGAATAAAGCTAACAGCGCTGTTTCGGCGAAATGCCATCTTCAGAGACTAAATATTGTTTAAACATATAATTTAATTAAAATAAATGTCTAATGTAAAATGTGAAAATATAGAAAATAAAATATGTATTAAATTGTGAAATAAATTAACCTTGTTGTAAATATCATAATAACTAAAGTTTATGTAGATTATATAAACAAAAAATAATGTAATTTAAATAAAATGTTTAGTAAAATAATTAAAATATAGAATTATGCTCTTGTACCTACAGCAGGTACAAGAGAATTCTTGTACCTACCTATGGCTAACACTTCCACAACTTGACATTCCTCCCACCCTGCTCATCGAACTTCTGAAACTATGTACTGTTGAAACTCCGTTTGTTGCTCCAGTCGGTTCTCTCCATTTGCAAATTGATGGTGTTGCAATGGGATCTCCGTTGGGACCGCTGTTCGCAGAATTCTATATGGCCGATCTCGAATCAAGGATATATGCTGACCCTACCAACAGACCCCCAATATATGCACGCTACGTCGATGACATTTTCATCATTTGCGAAAAGGTCACCGATGTTTACAACTTACAGAATATATTTCAGAACAACTCCCATCTCAAATTCACCATCGAATTTAGCACCGAAAAACAATTGGCCTTTCTCGATTGCTTAATTGAAGAAAAAGAAGAACAGCTAACTTCGAGGGTTTATGTTAAACCGACTAATTCTGGTCAGGTCTTAAATAATCATTCGGTATAAAAACAACGTCATCTATAACTTCATTCATCGGGCATACAAATTCTCTTCCGATATCAATATTTTCAATACAGAACTGATTCGCATAAAACAGTTTCTCATCAACAACAACTATTCCAACCAATTAATAGATAATACCATAAAACATTATATCAACAAAACAAATAATCCTATAACTCCAACCTCGACAAAAACAATTATACCTCTATATTATCTCAATCAAATGCATGACAACTACAAAGTTGATGAATCAATGCTCAAACGTATCATCAAATCCAATGTCTCCGTTCCCAACGAAAGCTACCGACTGAAGTTCATAATTTATTACAACACCAACCGAACATCCAGCTTTATCGTTAAAAATAACAACACACGTCCCCCCAACAAACTAGAGAGAACCAATCTCGTATACCGATTTTCTTGTCCCGTGCCACACTGTGTTGTGGAGAGTACATCGACCATAC